CTCGTCGTACGTTTCTTCGCTTTCTTGCGGCTTTCGCTCGATTATAAATACAATAGCCAACTTTATTTCAACTTGCAACAATCGTTCGTCGTACCTAACATTGTTCTCTCTCTCTCTCCATTGTTGGGGAAGGAAAACTCCTGCACGCGATTTACGTTTTCTAAAAGTCACGCGATTGCGAGGCTTCCAGTTTTCAGTTTTCGCCAGCAAACGCGTCCAGAAATTCGAGAAGGGATCTTGAGGGCTGGCGTTCTATATCGATGCAAACGTAGTACACGGTGCGAAGATAGTTAGCCAGAGATAAAAGTCCTACGGAAGAACGCTGAATTTTATGGAACCTGTTCCCACCGTGGTCTCCATCTCAAACGGGTTTAGTTAGGTGCATGCATTTCACGTTTGTATGCGTGCACGGCCGTCTTTAAAGGTCGTAAATTAATGTTCCGTTCTTACGACTGTGCGGGGAATCCGAAAATTCGTAAATATCTTAATTAAACCGTGACGACAACTTCGATACGCGTTTATTTCTTAATTCTATCGGCGACCATCGCGTGCCCTTCAAAACCGCGTTTCATCCAAATTTTTATAAGATCCTAGAATAATTTCTCTTCTACGTTTGAAAAACGATGTTTCGAGGAATTTTAATTAGCATCAACGTAACGGTATATACATATATATGTCCACCGTTTTCTTTTACATATCGCAGCCCTATACCCAATAAATGAGATATTTAACCCCTTGCACTGGTTGACGGACCATAACGAGTGACCCTTGCACTGGTTTACGGACCATAACGAGTGACCAAATACAATAATTCGTCGCTTTCTTATTGAACTCGTCGGAATGATAGAACTGGATAGAAATTATTACTAAGAAGTAATAAAATTTATTTTGCCTGGGTTATACATAAAGCCTGAGAGAGTATTGCAATTTTGAGATAAAAAGTTCTCGACGTGCGTGGCACGTCATTCCAGCGCAAAGAGGTTAAGTACACGTAACTATATACGATAAAAATGAGATCTCAGCATTTCCAATGTATAGAAATCTGAATCTGTAATGTAAGATCGTGTGAGAGAATCAATCGCACGAGAGGGGAAGGGGGGGGGGG